AAGTGACATCACCTGGAAGGCAGTGTGACCACGCAGTCCTGGTGAAATACTTTGCAACTTGAATGCTGTATTTGTGCTGTTCCCCTCAAGATTGTCACGACCAGAGAACAGCTGCTGCCGAGATATCTTTCCAGAGTTGTACAATCCTGTCTGTGAATATTACAAACCACTGTGCTCTGTTGTGCCATCTAAACATTTCAATTTGGTTCTATTTTATTTGTATAGCCCCAAATCACAACACAAATCATCTCAGGGCAATTTCCATAATAAGGTCTAGACCTTACTACTATTATTATTGAGAAAAATCTAAGGCAGGTTTAAGCTGCCACTGTGTGAAGGAAACTGCCATCTGACTTGTTGTTATAAAGAACCATGACATCTTTGATGGTAGACTTAGGTAGCACCCCATTTCAGTGTATCTGGGGTGAGGCAGGCTCAGAGGGGGAGGACTGGGAAATTGTTGTGAGTCTGCTGTGATAAGGTGTATGCTGCACATGCAATTTACTGGTGGACGCTTCCACTGAGGATGACCATGATTTGTATCTTCTCTCTCAGTCCATTTCACATTATTACTGATGACAGATAGCGGATTTGTTTTACAGATTATTTGCACAGATAGAAGACAGAAGTGTTTTATCTAAACATTTGTTGTCGTATTTGTCTTTTTTTTCCATGCTGCGATCGGACATCTGCAGAGGAAAAGTGCGTTAGCAGCCAAAGCATGGCGTGCAACAATACCATGGGACTGGTCAGGCAGAAAATGGCTGCTATAGAGCACTGTGGTGAACGCACACTCTTAAACCACATGCACCTTTTTTCTCTCCCCTATATCTTCTATCAGTGTCTCTTGTATATATGCAATGGAAAAAAGGGTATTAACCAATGAGTTGACTTACAGAAAATTAATTAGCAAGAATTTTGGTAACAGAGTAATCACAAAAGTCTTTTTCTGGGAAACAGACTCTAAAAAATTAGCATTTTCTGCTGTTTTCAGTGATAAATCATTTTAACTTGGAAATCTTAGGCTTTGCTACCTGGTTAGAAAGAATAAGCCATTTGATGTCACATTTAAAAAGCTAGGAAATAAGCCTGTTATGAGCAATAACTGTCAAGACAATTAATGCAAAAGAGGTAAAAACCTCAAATATGATGAAGTATTGTTGTTTCATTTTCACCATGAATACAGTTTATCCTCAAGGATACCGAACAATCACACAGCTACAGTAACACTGGAAATACTCATTATCTTAAGATTTAGCATTTAAAGGGACAAGCAGCTGCAAACTCACAGGGTGGTGTGTAAATCTGAGGGAAACTATAAGAAAAAGTAGTAGCAGCAACAAAACAATTTGTTTTTAAAGCTTATGAACATGCAATGTATTAGAGTATTTTACAAATATTGCAATGTTTGTTGCTGTAGTTTCCATAAACCTGGAAATTATATGGATTTGTCTTAAAATGTGATTGTATTCACCATCATGTAAACTGTGATTTACTTTTCATTATCCAGGATGCATAGAAGCATGCTAGAGGCTTTAACTGATATCAGTCTACTGATGACAGTCTATTCATTCAATTTAATTCAGGCAGCATTACCATAACAAGTATTATACAACTTAAAAAGAACCGTTTTAATGCTGAGCATGGCATTTAATTAGACTTTTGTTTCACGCTTTGTATAATATTCCTGTCATTCCCACTGGGACTTCTTGTTATGTCATTAGCGCTGGGACTGTTTTATTTCAGTGATATTTTATTCTCCTTTTCTTCAAATTGAGATGGGGAGATCTCTGTGCTATTTGTCTATCATAGCCATTACTCAAACTAGTTTCAGTGAGAAGATCATAAAATACATTAGGAATGCTACACCCTAAGGCAGCTGTATTGCATCTGGGAACACCAATGGGACATGTCATTAGTGTTTGCTTAAATGTGAGAGAAAATACTGCTCTGGGAAACTACTGGCCACCATCATAAAAGGCCTAAGATTGATGAAATATCAAAGAAAAAAAATCCCTGCTAGACTTGAAGGTCATACCACAGGTCAAAAAGTAATATTCCTTGCAATGAATACTGTTTTGTGGGTGATTGTTCAATCCTTCATTGATTTTATCAGCAGGAGCCATGAGTTTATTGACAGCGAAGGACTGGAGCTCAAGCTGCTCCCATCCTGATCTCGTTCCACATGATTATTCTTAATTTCACAGCTGATGATTTTTACTGAGACAGACGGCGGCGGCCAAATGCCAAACTACAGAGGAGAAGTCTGAGGTGGGAGTAAAAGTTAGAGATGGAGAAAAAAGATAGAGTGGTCGCTCAACTTTATCACCCACTTTTGGGATAGAAGCAATCTGTGAATGTGACCTATAAATATGTACAAGATGGTGAGGGATGTAGGTGGCCTAATGTGAACCTGAAAAACTGAAGGAAAGCACACTAGTGAGGTTCTGGCCCTGTAGGTACAAATATCAAAGAAATGAAAAGAAAGCCACACATTCATGACTCTGATTCATTATAATTCTATAGATCAATATTTCCACTTATATTACATGAACCTGAACCAGGTCTGCAGGTATTCAATAGATATAGTTTATTTCTCTGTGTCAGTCCCGCATACATTGTCCTCCAGCTGACTCACCAAGTCTGCATTTACTTCTCTTTGAGCAATGGTTGCAACAAACTAGTGCCCAGCTTGTTTTGCCCAATTTGTAACATGCCAACTGCAATCTGAAAAATGAGGGCATTTTGCTCATGTCAGCATATTTCACTTGTCAAAACAAATCACACAGTAGTGAACAATGGAAGTGTATATGAATGGCAAATGTATCTACAATCTGCAAGCAGCAATCATTTGCAAAACTTGCATTCGAGTTTCTATCAAACAAGCCACTGAGCCCTCACGGTCATATGTATAGGTCTGGCCTATTTCTAGAAAGCTTTTGTATGGACTAGAAATAGTTTTAAAAATATTTGGTGTCCACAAACCGCTCCTCCTTTTTTATGACTTAAAATAATTACCTTTGGCTTTTCAATTATGTTTTAAGTAAGTTTCTTAACATTTTAATGTAACATGTATACTTCAAGTCAAATTTTATTTATATATCCCAGTATCACAAATTTGCTTCATATTAAGCGAGGCACACTGAGTTTACCTTGTGCATGAAAAATCAGCTTTGCTTTTCTTTAGAAGGCTAGTTTTGGGAATTTGAGTCTTCATGCAGCTTGGAGACTGTGAATCTGTCCCAGCTGTGTACACACCTAAGAGAACAGAATCACACAAGGTACTGAAAAAACTCTAAACTCTGCCAGTCTCACAGAGGAGGGGTGCTAGTGAAAATTACAGCATCACTCTGGGGAGTGGGCAGTAGGAGGTGCAGGATTTGATGAATCAAGGACCTTTTGTTCACAGCAAAAATGACTGCTTGCATGCAGCTGGAAAGAACATCTCTTTGGCATTGCGGCAGTGCTTGGCAAGCAGACAGGCATCATTTGGAGCCATTTAGGTTTTTTTAGCTGATGCAGAAGGGGGACGAAGCAGAGCAAGGTCATTAAGAGAAGATGCAGAAGATGATGATGTGGCCAGTGCTGGGTGTTTACTGTATGTGGGTCTATGCTGCCTGAATCGAGTAGCAGGCATGGCAACACTCACAGTAATGATAGTGTGAGACATCTATAGGAAGATATATTGGCTGAACTGAAACAGGATAAGCAATGCTGACACATAAGGTGCTTCAACATAGTGAAGGAGTATGCACATTTGAGACTGTAACACAATTAACTGATTAGTCACTCAATACAAAATTAATCAGTAGATTCTTAAATGCTCCATTAAATGTCTAAACATTTTTGAGCAAAATGCCAAATAGTCAGTGACTCCCGTCTTTGAAATGTTAAAGTTTGCTGTTACTTCTATTTTTCAGTGATAGAAACCTTTGGATTACTGACCCAACCAAACAAATACTTGAAAAATATATAATTTCCACTGTCTCCATACATTTTCCCGTCCAAACAATCAATCTGTTGATTGCTATAATAACCACCAATCACTCACTTCACTGTTTTTCTTCCCAGGACATTACAACACATTCATTTCACCCATGCTTCATCTAAAGTGATATCCATTCACCCTCCACCACATGTAGTCACCACCAGCCCATATGACTAATAAGCAACGTGCACTACCTGAGCTACAGATATTCTAGTCATGTCTATTATTTAAGAAATAAACATTAAAAACAGACTGGTAACTCATAAGACAGGGACACATTCATCAAATAGATGCAGAGTACAAGTCGGCTACAGTCAAAGTTGTCTCTTGTTTCCCATTTCTGACCTTATAATCTCAAACTTCAGGTGCTGACACAAACAAGCATCTGCACACATGTATGTACAAACACACACACACACACACGGCTGCAGTGAAAATGTGCATAGCAAAGCAAACAAACATAAGTTGAATGAGACTTTTGTGGGCAGAACTAGCAGATCCTTAAAGTCCAAGATTTAAATAATTACTCAATTCATCAACCCAGTAAGTCACCTTGATGTCCTAAACCTACACAAACAGCACCAGAGCTATCAAGTCATGATTTGCCTTAACACATTTTAGAGAGTAGAGATGTGTGCAGTTCCTCAAACAATTTACAAGTTGGTGGAACCACACAAAACCACGTTAACCTTAGCCTATTTTTTAAAGTAGGCTACAGCTGTATTGTAACACAAATAGGCTATAGCTGTACTGAGGAGATACAATGTTGATATTAGAAAAGTGAAACGCCGGCTAATCCTGTTGGCATTATGGTGTCCGTGATAGCTATTCAAGTGATTTTAATTGTTGTACAAACAAATCACTTGCTGGTTTGAGACTATTTCAGCCAGAACAAGTGCATTTTACGCAAGAAACACACTGTACAAACATGTATTCGCCAGCAACCTACATTTGTGTCCAAAATGACACACACAACAGCTTGGACGCGTAAAAATTAAAGACGATTCCCTACCAGTGTCAGACGGTTTCACGGCTCCTCCGTTGCCGAAAAAAATCCCCGCCCCCTCCGTTGCCGCTGCCCATTTCCACCTGCCACAGATTACAGCACGAGCTCAGCTGTAGGCGTTTCAGTCCCGCGAGCAAGTCAGGAAAAGATAAACCACGCAGTAACGCGCGCGCGCGCTGCGCCTCCGCCGCCTGCGCGACAGAGATACCAAATCGCTGCGCGCGAGGATGAGGTAAAGGACGCATGAAATCATCCGGACAAGGTACACGGTATGAAACTGTGAAATGTAAAATGTTGAAAGACCACGAAATATGTACATATCAACAAACCAATCGTGTTTTACCGTCTTTAGCATGGCTGCTCAGTAAGATACGCATTATAGAATGAGACATTACAGCAGTTTGACACATGGCTGGATTAGTGAACGCGCCTACTGGGCCAGGGCCAGGTCCAGGGGCCCAGAGGATCAGGTGGCTCCTGGACTAGATCTTCTACATGAAGCGACTGTTAACAGTCCTTGTTGAAACGTTGATCAACAACAAATAGAGGCACAATGAGTAAAAACAGATGCAAAATGAGCACAAGGACATGGAAAACAACCTAACTCACAAAAATAGAACATAGAAATAACCACAAAGAGATGCAGAGTGACTAAAAAGAATATCAATATAGCCACAAAGAGATGCAAAGTGACTAAAAAGAATATCAAAATAGCCACAAAGAGATGCAAAGTGACTAAAAAGAATATCAATATAGCCACAAAGAGATGCAAAGTGACTAAAAAGAATATCAAAATAACAAAAAAGAAAACTGGCCACATCTAAATATAGGTACTAAATGACAAAAAAAATTGACGCAAAATGACCACAAAGACAAAACATCAAAATATTGGCTCAAAACATCCACACAGACAGCAAAATTAATTAAAAAAGACAGCTTTTTTTCAGTTCGGTGGTCTGGCCCTTTACATGTCTTTGCAGAGGGCCCGAGTGTCTCATAATCCATCCACGGCCTGACGTAGCCCATTTTTGAAGCTGGGGAACACATTTCTTTATCATGTAACAATATGTAAACATATAATTGCTTTTTAATAATTGTTTATTAACATATTTGTCAAAAATTATAACTCTACCTGTGGACACCTAAAAGTGGAGACTGGTGTATAAACAGATAAAGAAGACAAAGTCAAAGTCAAATACTGTTGTAAAAATGTCTTCACAGGATAAATACTATTGCTGACAAATACTTTACATTAATAATCATGCTCTTGCTGTATATATCTAAATTAATAATAATTTATTAAATACCTATATACTACTAAGAGGAAAACTTTATATGTCACCACATTAACATGTAACAAACAGTTCTGATGCAGGATTCCATAAATATCTTCTCAGTGGGACATTAACTTATCAGTTCCCTTTTACAAATATATAATGTTGTCACTGTTTGTAAAGAGAAAACTTCATTGTATTTTAATTTGTGCATAAGATTGACATGTACTAGATCCTAAAGAAAAGTTCTGTTATTATTTTGTCCAGTGAAAGTACACTATGGCAAGATGTCACATAAAGCCCTTGCACTGCACTGGCATGTTTTCAGCCACAAAACATAAACAATTCTATTATAAGCCTACTTTCATGTAGAAGACACCCGGAGTAACATACTATACACTGGTTGAGGGGTCAAAGGAAAATGTTGTATCACTCTGATATGTCCAGTCCACCTTTAGCTCCAGTGTGAGATCTGCAGGACCTGTCATCAGTCATCATTCCAGCATCCCACAACCCTTTCACCCCTTATTAACATTGCTGGCCTACGTTCAAAAGCAGATGCCTGCAGATGAATTCAGGAGTACAGTGACATGCCTGCAAGTGATGTGGCCAGCCTGGTAGTGAGCATTTTGGTCAGCTGTCAGCCAGATGGTGATGGATACAGTGGAAATATACTTGGAGTTTGAGCTATGTCCTTCTCACTGAAGTCCTTTGTTACCCTACTTGCCCCCGGCACAAGGCAGCCACCCTAAAAATAAAGGTGCCCATGTGCCTGTATGCAGGCAGAGACATTGCTCATCAAGTGCTCTTGATGTTTCTGCTTGTCTGTTTGGATACAAAAGAAAAAACACACAAAGTGAGCTGAGACTGGATACTGCTCCAATAGTAGAGTCAGGTTCCTGTTGTTAAGGTTGGTTTAGGATTTATACTCGGTTGCTCTATGAAGCTCAAGTCTAATCAATATGTCCCCAGCATCAAAGTTAATACCTGTGCTCGGCTCCATCATCATCATCTTGAGTGCTTTCATTAAAGGACATTTATATTCCTCTGGTCTCAGAATGATCAAGAACGACTGCTCCCTCAGAGCCGCACATTTCGGTTTAACCTGGTCACTATGGCAACATAAAAAAATGTATTCACTGTCTTTTGACTTTGGATTTTGATTGAGATGGCACTTGAAGGATGTGAGTGACTCATTTAAAAAGGTAGAGCGAGAATGTGGAAGAGAAAAATAGCACCATTGTGAAAGCAGGAGCTACATAATGACAGCAGCTCACAGCTTGGAAAAGTGCAACCCTCAGCAATAAAGAGTATATGAGCATGACTTCAGTATCCAGCTTTTCACTCTGTGGCGTTCATATTAGTCCACTACAGCGGCTGCAGCTGTAGTGGACTAATCCTTTAATTCTGAGAAAGCATAAGCGATTTATTGGTCTTGGCAGGAGTGACATGTGACTCACAGGATGTGACAAATTTGCTGACAGGTAAAACAACAATTTGCATCCGTTATTAACGCTTAAAATGTCTATAAAATTAGCGTATGACAGAAAAATGAATCCTTTCTGCTCAAAGTGACAAATGTCAGGAAATATAGAAATCACTTTGTCCTTTCTCCACAGTTAAAAGTCTTCTGAGCTGATTCTCTCATGAGATCCCTACAACTGATATTTTACCAGAATACAAACGAATCATTTAAGGTTTAAAAGAGATCAATGGCATTTTTTTTAAAGTTCTTCAAAGCTAAAAAAAAAGGTTTGCAATTAAACAATAACTTGGACTCTAAAAAGTGAGATAAGTAAGTAGGAGATTTGCTTTGAGCTGCAGGGATCTGTAGTTCAACAAGATCTGGCAATGCTGTTCCTCACAACTCCGTTAATTAATTTAAGATCCATCAGCAACTGATTTGTGACATGGGCGGAGAGTGTACAATGTTTTAAACTCTGCTGTCAAGTGTTTTGTTGTCAAGTGTTATGTATTCATAACTTTTATCCTGGAATTTATTCTATATAAATTTAACAATAAAATGAAAAATTAAAAGCCATTTTGTGCCTGATATCCAATGTACTCGATGCTATCACCAAGAGAAAATGTACTTTCTAGTTTAAAAAAATTACAAAGGACACTGAATTTATTTAATATAAAATACAACATATGACATTATATCTCACTTGTTAAATCCGTACACAAACCAAAGTGTAACAATGACAGCTGTGTGGGTCATGTGACTGCCATTTCATGTCTTGGGGGAGTTGAAGGAAATTAGTAGAATCTCCAGGAATTTACTGGTTCAAATTCTCCTACCAGGAAATAGTCCCTGTTAAAACTGTTGTTTTTACAGTTCAATGTGTATGGACTAAACAAACAATGTGTAAATTAATTAGCTTTATACAGTATGTTCTGGTAGGCTAGCTGTTTCCAGTCTTTATGCTAAGCTAAGACTGGCTGCTAGCTGTAGCTTCATGTTTCCTACACAGACAAAGGAGCTGATCTTCTCATCTAACTCTTGAATATAAAGTGAACAAGTGTATTTCCCAAAATGTTGAACCACTGCCTGACTATCTGACCCTTTTGTATCAGGAACTGAGAAAACAACCTGCCTTCGGTAGGCCACTGAAAAAGCCACTCGATTTTCAACTACTTGACGTGATTACTAACACAGTGTGAGTGTTCAAGCAAACCCAGCATGGGCAAATACAATGCAACCCCATGCAGGATATTTAAAGAAATCAATATCCTTTCAACAACTGTTTATTGTTCTTTAGTCTGATTCCTTCCTCACTAGGATCCCATCTGGTGGCGAAACAGTTAGAGGTTTCATTTTAGATAAGAGACAATTATTGTACCACATCAAAAAAAGCAGGAATCTCAAACTGCACCACAGAATGCAATTCAGATACCGTGTCCTTGTGCCCTTGGTATTTAATGACATTTCTTTCTGTCCAGGAAAATTGAAGGAATCCATCAGACTGAAGGTTTGCAAATGTTTGACTGTTTTCTTTCTCTTTGAACTGGGCCTGTGCTATAAAATTGGTTTCTCAAGCAAAAACATATTTACAGTACAGTAATCCAACTACAGCACCTTTTAAAGACGAGGTTTGGGCCACATTTCCTGTTTCATTTGTTGTTGTATTTATGACGGACACAACAAAAATCGCTGGAACCAAATGTGATTGTATAAAAGGTTTGTGACGGCATTTATTTTCAGGGCACAAGTATGAAATGGGTTTCTTTTCTGATATCCTGATTGACAGCTCAACAAATGAGAAATCATTGACTGTGAATAGAGCAGCCGCCTGCTTTTGGCAGACATGCTGTGTGTGTGTGTGTCTTCATCTGTCTTAAAAGCAGATGTAATGTAAGGTCTGAGACATCAAATCACAACAGTGGCTCTGTCAGGCTCAAAGACAGTTTATACCATTTCCAGTATAAAAGTTTTTAGATGGATACCATGTTCACATAGAGCGTCATCAAAGAGAATGGACCTAGGACTCACAGGTCTATTCAAACCAAAGGGAGTGGACAGATTATTAGAAACACGTCTCAGTATAGGTCTCCACAGTCTCCAAAATTAAGTTGAATCAACACATCTCCAAAACAGCTTGTGTGATATCCTTCATACAGAAGGATTCATCACAGGCTATTCTGCACTAGACTGCATCAGTCCTAGCTGTATTATAGTGTATTATAGCTGTATAGCTCAGACTGCTGCAGCAAATACATTTTTGAAACCTTTAAAGAGTCACATCACGCTTTTTACATGGATGCCATTTAATACAGTGTACAGTTTCTTCAACTAGTACACTTAACATCTCAAAAAAGCTTCAGGCACCGCTATTAAGAGGGCACCATTCATCAAAACAAAGAGAACCAGTGAATTACCCCAGGAAAAAAGCCACTTTAAAATGAGCTGTAGAATAATCAGGTGAACACAAACAAAGCACACCACCACTGTGCCACCATTTCTCAGCAAAACAGTGTTTTCCACAGTGTGATGGCTTTTTGCATGACTGCCTACATACTGTACACCACCACTTTGCAAACACAGACTTGATCAAACTATCAAACTGAGTTTATGTGTCAGCTCTGCCACAAAAATAAACACACAGGGTTTTACATGAAAACTGACTCCAACATCTAATCAGTTATCAAAGTTATTGCAGATCAATGTACAGCATGTCAACCAACTGATCATAATGCTGATCACTGAATGAATGTGGCATTTTTCTTACTTCTATGTAAATTAATGGCCACATACACTCAAGAAGATGCATTTACTGCATGTCTCCAAGTCTCCTGAATCAAGTGTGACGCTGTCATCTAGTGGTTGGAAATGTTTAATGATGCTGATTCTGCTATCTTATTATTTCACATTCCAGCAAATGTACACTTTAGACTTGTAATAGTTTTTTTTGCCAAATGTTAGATTCAGATTAGTTTCAGGTCACATATACCTAATATAATCAAGATTTTGCCAAACATACAGTGGCTCTAAGCTGCACCTTGTTGAAGCAGCTTTGTGTTACTACAATTTCAGAGGAGGCACAAACACACCTTGACATATCTCTGAGTCAGCTGCCAGAACAAAACATTATGTAGAAACAAATATGTATTTAGCAAAATAACACAAAGTAGTTTGTTGTCACAACAGAGCCAGAATCAGTGCCGTAAAAACCATTAAGGTGATTTATTGCAACTTGTGGCAGCCATATTAAGGATAAACATACTGCTATTTTTCCCTTTTATAAAATGCCTTCCGAATTAGGGAACAAGGTGAATAGAATATATAGGACACTCCTAAGTTTGTTAGGACCAAATGCACACTCATACTGCCATATAATACAACCACTGCACATAATGATATGTGCATCATACTATCAGTAAGACATGAAGAATTTGGACCAACTATTTTGAACCACATACATATAAGACAATCCTGATTATAAGATGATCCCCGATATTCTTTTAACACCTGTTTAACACTTTTTTGGATAACAACCAGGCAGATATTTTATATTTGACATTTTTTTAAATAATATTTATAGTCATCAAGCGTAAACTACAGTAAGGAAATCGACAAAATAAATACTTGAAAATAACACCAAACCTTGCACATTATTTTTAAATTGTCATCCAAAAGAGAAGCAGCTAATTCATGTATTAACCATGACATGAATCAAGACTCTCCTGCAACTGAGTCAGAGAAAGACGGCAGCTTCCATAACGACTGATTTTTCATATGTAATTTCCAATTTAAAACCCAGTCCCGTCTGTGTAGTTTGAACCAAACAGAACTTAAAAACATGCAAAAATCACAGGAAATGTCCTCTAATTATTTACCACGCGCTGTAAAAATAACTAAAAACAAAACCAATCCTGCATGTTATTTATTACTTTTTAAATTTACAAGTTATTTTCACAGTTCTTTTAAAAAAGGCTAACAACTCTATGGTGTTACAGGGATGAATACACAATGAATGCAAACAACTGCATTTTTTGCACAGTTCAGAAACATATTCAAAAGTGTAGCCTATGAAGTCATGACTTGCTTTGGTAAGCAAAGTCTTGGGTTTTCTTTACAACTGTGTCATGTCCAGGTCCCTAAAGAGAATAACAAACTACTATCAGCTCAACTGCAATAAGGCAAAAAGATTTACAGGGCTGCCATTTGCAATTTCAGCCTTTCTAATCATTTTGTATTTTTCATAATGTTGATGAATATAGAGGGAAATGACAGGACTAAAAAAAGTATACTGCATATACTATATACACACACATACACATACATAACAGGAAAACACACACAGAGAAATGGGGGAAAAGGCAAACAACCTCAGGATCACCCTTCAGAAAAGATCATTTAAGATAGAATTCAATCAAGTGAGACAGAGGTTGAAGATGGGAGGTAGACAGATACAAAGGGGAAAGACAGAGAATAGTGAGAGATCTGGGTTAACTCCTTCTAGCTTATGATTTTTGTTTTAAAAAAAAAAAAGGTCCTTTAATCAAAGAAGATCCAGATAATTTCATCTGTAATCTCAGTTAAAGTGCAGGAGTGGCGAGTGGCTGTGCCCTCTCCTACCTCTCTGGGTTTTAGCTACGTGCTGTCCTTAAATCGATGTTCAGGGCTCGCTCACTAAGTTCATTGTTTTGTCCTTGCTAATTTCCACTGCAGCACTGGCCACTGCGGCCCTGAGGAGCGGTATCTTGTAGAACCACTCCTGTCCTGGTCCGTCCCCCTTGTCCAGCTCCACCCTGTGGATCGTTCTTCGGTAGTTTTTTTGCTGCAGGGACAAGCAGAGACAGATGCTACAGTGTAGCTATTTTAAAAGTTCAGCGTTGTATGATAGCTAGATATAAATATAGGTTGTGCTAGTGGGCCTGCTACATAAAATGCATTCTGACTTTAGTTAATCTCTTCTTTTTTTTAACAAATGTTGAGATACTGGATAATTTGATCTCTTAATAAAATAAAGGATTGAGAAGGGTAACATCACTCTTTGGTGGAACTGCTCACAACTCATTGAAATATGCAAAGGAAATGCAAGTAGATATTGCTTCAGTTTTAGTGCTCATAAGGTAAATATGTTGGGAAAGGCTGGGCTATACTATTCACAGAAGCTACTAGAAGCCAGGGGAAAAACATTCCTGCAAGCAATTTTATTCAGTTAATTAGCTGAATTACAAAATGCACTCTAATGTCAAGATACTGCAAAGAACATAAGTAGTTGAGGTCACTCTGGTGAGTAAGGAGCACTAGTTGTGTTTCAGTGTTTAGTATTATAAATAGCACTTCTTCATCATACCAAGAGTTTCAGAAAGAAACAAGCTTACCAACATCACACTTAATGCCTCAGTCTCTCTACTACTATTCTTTCCAATCCTAACATCGGGGCCACAAAATGAAAGTTGCCAGGCCATGGACAATCTAAACTCTATTCTTTCAAATCCTAACATCGGGGCCACAAAGTGAAAGTTGCCAGGCCATGGACAATCTATTTTGAATGAACTGCCTGAATTTAATGTAGTTTTATTTAACTTTTGAACAGGGATGCATGTGTGTAATTTAACTTTGCTGTAAAAATATGGGAGTTGAACTAAAGCGCTGCCTAGAATATCATTAGGAGGGAGATTTAACTCATCAGAAGGATGTACTTACCAATAGCCATGAAAATTTCATTGACATTCATGGCTGTCTTGGCTGAGGTCTCCATGAACAGTAGACTGTTGTCATCAGCATATGCTTGCGCCTCCTGAAAACATTATTTGGAGAAAGAGGATAATATTACACATCTACTACAGTGACAAGGTCAATATAGCTTTATGGTATAATACATTCAGCACAAAGCTTGGAATTAAAATTATTTTGCTATAAAATGGACTCATATGTATCCAGCTTCATACCTGCAGCTCTACGGCTCTCTTGTTTGCAATGTCTGCTTTGTTTCCAGCCAAAGCGATCACTATGTTGGGATTGGCTTGTCTCTGCAGCTCCTTCACCCAGTTTTTTGCTCGTGCAAAAGTATCCTATTTGAGCAACAAACTTTATTAATTTTGCTCTCACTCAGAGTATTCAGATGACAATTATATTTAAACCTTTGTGGAACATCTTCCCTTTTTGGCATGTACACATCTATATACATTTGAGAGGCTGAACAACACCACACATGAAGACATGAGCTCAAACACATACAGATCCAATTTTTTTGCTTTAAACTTAGAACATTTGGATAGTATCTTGTACCTGTAAGTAAATGGTAATTGGTAAATGGACTGTATTTATATAGCGCTTTTATGCACTGGCCAAAGCGCCAAAGTAAAAACACATTCTAGTAAATTCACATTTATCATCAATCGTCATCATCAATATAGCTTGTCTTAAAACTTTAAAATGAAGTGGTGTTCTACATTAAATCACAAAGTCATTATGAACCTGCTGTTTGAGCAACAACCTATCTGTGTTCATCATGTTCCTGACTGATCACACTGTTAACCTGCAGATGAAACATACTGCGTTGGTAATGTCATAGACCACGATGGCCGCCTGTGCTCCTCTGTAGTACATTGGAGCCAGGCTGTGGTAGCGCTCTTGACCCGCTGTATCCCAGATCTCAAACTTCACAGTGGTGTCATCCAGACAGACAGTCTGAGTAAGGAAGGCGGCTGAGGAGAGCAGGAAAAAATACATCAGTGTAATGATAATACACTGACTTCCATCTCCATCTTGCCCATGTATGCAGTGAGTGAGTGTGTAAAGGCAGTGCATCTTGGACCACACTACTCTCAACATTACAAACATATCTTTACCAATTTGTGCCTGTTAAACCTGCTGGAAGGAGGTACATGTTCTAAAAATTAATTCAGATCATTAAATGAAATGTGCTACTGGTTTTGAACATGAATGTTCATTCTTGACTTTAAGAACAGTATGCGTGACAACATATCGACCCCCCATGTCATCTGTTAAATTATTTGATGCAAAAGACATTTTTAGAACTATAGATGGAGATTAATTTAATTTTAAATGTAATATTTCTCAAGTCTGCATATACATCGATAATTAATGCCCAGACCTTTTTAGAATTAGTGTAATGTTGCACCATACTGTATACAACTAGACATGGAACAAAGCCCCTAACTTGGTCAATATTGGTCTGACACCATTTGATAAACTACTCCTACACTGTGATTATCCAACTTCAGAACTTTTTTGGAAATGACCAGAATGTGTGTGCAACTCCAAGTACTGAATCAACAAGACTATGGACTGTCAAATCTGTAATCCAATCCACTCAGTCTTTGATTGAATAATTCCCCATTTTAACCCAACATTTGACCAAATTTTATTTATGCAAAGCAATATTCAAACAATATTCACCTTTTATGTACAGTCAAAGCCCATTTTGAACAAAATTAAGTATAGTAATACATTTCTATCTCCTACCTCCGATGGTACTCTCCTGGAATTCATGAAACTGGCCTTTGACAAAGCGAAGAACTAAGCTGGACTTTCCCACTGCCGACTCTCCTAGGAGCACCAGTTTGAACTGGCAGATTTTGTTTGCTGGTGTGGCACCATTAGGCCTGATAGATCCTCCTCCGCGCCCAGCCATTGGCAGAAGACTGTTATGGATGAGATGGCCTGAAACTACAGGTTAATGGGTTGCAACCACGGGAGCTGAGCCTGGACACACAGGTACTGATGGTGAGCGGGGTTACAGATAAAACTTCTCCTGGGAAGAACCAAATGGGCAGATAAAAGTGGAGGGACCCAGTTGAGTTTACCCTGTGGGCGGATGAGAGGGTGGACCAGTGAACCTACTTATGACAACATCCACACAAGGCAAAATTATGAAGTAGTTTTTCATGTTGCGGATATACTTTCACATAATAGTCTGATGTGATCAAAGGTAGTCATACAACTCAAGTTTAACCATGTATTTCACACAGTTGATTAATTTGCAATTCTTTTGACTAAGCATTTCTGAAACCAAAATATAATGTGTGCTATCATATCTTTAAAGACATATTGAAAGGATCCGTTACAAAATGACTTGGTAATGTTAGATTTAGTAAGGTTAGATGCAGTATTATCAGCACATATACAATTAGAAGAATTTGATGAGCACCCAAATAGGCTACTGATATCTGTATTGGGATTAATTAAAAGTTATTTTCGGCCTCTTTTTAGTAGTGCTTTTATCTCTTTGTAGTCTAGTTGTTTTGCATCTATTTCTTTCTCATTTTGGGGCTTGTAGAGGTTATGTAGTCATCTGGGCCCGGTTGGCCCATTCAGTCATACGTTCCTGAGTATGTGACAATTCAGGTGCTTTATAATGTTTAAGAGCTGATCATATAACTACCCGACTTTAACACACTCGCCAGCTTTATACTATCAAATTTACTGACTCAATATTATATCCTAGCAAACCAAGTACATTTTACTTTACTCCAAAACTCGGCTGTAGCAACAACAACAGCAACATGCTCCAAATAAATTGATTGAACCTAATGATCTTAACTTTCACCACATTACCGGACAAAAACAAAACCAAAAGTAGTCCCCTATATGTTAGCTCCGGGGCTAAAGCTAACAATAATGCTAACACCGGCTAACAAATAATTTAAAAGAAACAAATAACATGTTAGCATTCTTACCAGCAACAAAAAAAAAACGATCTCCGCGCCGCCCTATGAACAATGGCTTATATCAGCGCTATTTCTCTTTAACTGTGTTTTCTCCCAAAACACTTTTAGGTTCAGTAAATATTACGCTTCCGCCTTGTCTAACCAAAATACTTCCTGGATTTGTTTGTCATGTGATACAATATAACAACCAATCAAATAAGCGGATGGTACGTTATCATAAGAAACCAGCAGCCTGTCACTGCCTTCTAAAACTTGGAGTAATTTGCAGTGAATAATCTAATATAAAACAAGAACATATAAAACAATTGGAATAGATATGTTGGATGAATTAGATATGGTTGAATTCTGGAAATGTAGATATATAATCGTGGGTGATAGGTGGAGTACACCCTGTAGAGGTCAATAGTCTGTGTGGGATTACTTGTTGGTGTCAGCAGATAGCCATTTATTTCTTTTCCCATTAAAAAAAGGTTTATGTATTAATTTATTTTTTGCATCCTGCTGTTCAGATATTTACTGTACACTTTGTAGAGATGGAATGTCTATGTTATCAATGTCAATGTTTATTGGTTTTATTTTTTTTTTAAATGGGAAAGAATTCCAGAGGGAAAAATTTGTGACAAAGACCATAGAACACATATATTGAACCAGCACACAGTGGAATAAATGCAGCATTTTTCTTTGTTTTGACATTTACTTAAGCATCTTATCAGCCACAAGGTGGTGCAACATGATACAAAAGAGAAAGCTCAGCAGTATGCGTGACCTAGAGTCATGCCATTTTTATACCAGTAATACTTTGAAAGAAGATAAAAAGTCTCATAGGCTAAGTTAGACTGTTTGTTCAAAAACAAACAAAAAACAGCCAGCTTTGACAGATGCTGCTGATGAAAACAAAAAATTGATAGAAGCATAACTTGCAAATAAGATACAGGAAAGAACCTCCACCCAAATTGAAAGACAAACTGCCTTTATGAACAGGTCTTTCACACAACACTGAACTAAACTGAAATTACGTTGGCTTCTGCACACCAACATGTGTGTTAGACTGTTCTGTTTAGGTTGAACACACAACACAAATTGATAAATTGATTTTGTGTTTTTGTCTTTTGCTACAACTAGACTTTTGCCTTTCGAAACAAAAGTATTTTTAGTCAGATTGTTTTTTTTATCACAATGCAAGAAACATCTCTTTATTTCTACCCAAACAAAAATTGTCCTATATAAAAAAAAAGTTGTTTGTAACAACAATTTATTGTAAGTAGCAAACACCAACAATTAGATTAATGTCATTTTGGAAACCCATAACAAAAAGACAAAAATAAAAATCTGAATTGTGAAAATAGAAAAAGGACAAAAGTTACAACTTGATCTTTATTATGACAATGCAGAACACATACACACTGTTGATTCACTGGAAGATGTGTTGCACAGTGTTGATTTATACGTTGCACAGGTCAGTCCCACAGCAAAAGGCAGATGCGACACCCAAACCATTCAAAAGCTTGCAGTTTCCCAAATTATAGCAACCCTGGAAGTACTCTGTGACAATTATGGAAAAAAAATTTGAATGGAGTAAAAGGCATTTTCTACAAGTATTCAATGAACATAATGACTGACTTGGCTGAGGAAATGTCATTGTTTTCTTTACTATTTTTTTATCTGAACAGTACGGTGAACTCAGGTGATTTGGGACATCAGGTAAAATGGGACAAATAAGCTTTTGAATCTTGGGCTCGGTAAATTATAGGTGGTAATGTAATATGTGGTCAACTACCACATACTACATTGTTGTCCTTTTCATGAAACAATGGCTTTGATCAGTCTGAGATAACTAGAATGGATCAATCAAGAGCAAGATCAAAGATTTTTATTGTCAATTCACTATATGTACTATAAATACAATAGAATAAAATTAGAATAAACACAGAATAAATAGAATATGAAAACTGAATTCAAGTACTAAGGATAAACTAGATAGTACAACCTAATAGGCTATGATGAAACTCAAAGCCATGTGCAAACAGTGACAGTTAGTGAAAATAATAACAAGAAGATTGTCAGGTGCTCAGCATCACCAGGGGTGGTGGACAAAGGAAAGATAATGATAATAATAATAATAATGCCCTGTGGCATGCTGAAGTACTCACTTTGGTAATAAGGACACTGCATAACACCAGAGATGACTCTAGGATGTTGCATTTTATTAACTGTTTGACTTGCAATTAAAATATTTAAACAATACACTTTACTTTTTATGGGAAAAGGTATAGAGGGATTGTCCCATGCACCAGACAAATTTAGAAAAAAATTCAGCCAAAACAGAACATTTTCTGAAGTGAAATTGGTATGTTTCTGGATCACCAGTGCCACAAAATCATTAAATACTATGCTATTGTGTGCCACTCTCTGATATTACAGACACTTTTGGTATTTTTGTCACTTAAAAATATATAGTGAGAATCGGTCACTTTAGAGCACATTAATTGCAAACACTTATTTGGTTTAAGATACCTATAATCCATAAGATTTTCACATATAGCCCAATTCCTTACAGGCCTAATTATCCTAAAGTTGTTGATGTTTTATATTACAGTAATATTTAGCTAATTAAAAACTTGATGCTGGTTAAAAACATTTAACAATAAAAAAAAAAAAAAAAACTTGAAATACATTTGTTTTTCAATTAAGATGAATTGTTTGGTGCTTTTTTTAAACCATTACTGACTGACCCATTTACCTGAACATCAGATTGGAGGTAGGAGTTCTTGCTGTGTTTAGAAATATAACAAAGCTCCATAACAAGGTGTAAAAATAACAAGGTAGTCTTCAGAATTTTAGGTGGTTTTATTTACAATCTACCAAAAAGTGTCTCAGAATACCTGACTGTCATCCTGCACTGAAGGAAAGGCCTATACTTACTGTAGCCAACAGTAAAGATGGCACTGATACAGACATTGTTTGGACTGTAACAGGTCTCAGTGCGGCCTGAACACTGCCGCAGGCCTCCGCAGTAGCATTTCAAGGCTTCACCTGGAAAGTGACAAAATAAGTGATGCTCAACCATATTGTATAAAAACGAAGGCTAACTAAAGCATTTTCACTGCACATTTAAAAATGTCACGTCTCTGCACTGAAGTCTCAGTATGAAAGAAAGGTTTTGTGAGACTGAACTTAAATGCAGGCACAAGGTGCATCTCCAGTCTTTTATAAGCAGTTGCACAGGTCAGTCCTGCAGCAAGAGGCAGATGAAATTCCTGGTTGATTCAAGAGCACACAGCCACTTGATGGATAGCAACCCCGGAAAGAGGTGACACCTGGGACAATTATGACAAAATAAATAAATACATATATTTTTTCTTTATTATCTTTTTGGTTTAACCGTGCACTGGCAGAAAGGCCTATACTTACTGGAGCCAGCATAAATGATGGCACTGATACAGACATCTGAATCGGGTGAGCAGGTCTCAATGCGACCTCCTGGACACCGCCTCGCGCCTCCGCAGTTGCACTTCAAGGCTTCACCTGGAAAGAGACAAAACAAGTGATGCTCACCCATGTTGTATAAAAACTAAGGCTGCATTTTCACTGGCCCAAGTGACATTCACTGTACACATAGAATCCTAAAAAGAGTCCCCAAACCTGAAATGTTTTGTGGGCAAACATGGTTAAGTTTGGATAAAACAAACTGCAGATTTACTCACTCTGGCTGACAACCAACACCACCAAAAGAGCGAGAATCACAGTCTTCATGTTGTCGAAATGTCACGTCTCTGCTCTGAAATTACAGTATGAAAGAAAGGTTTTGTGAGACTGGACTTAAATGCAGGCACAAGGTGCATCTCCAGTCTTTTATAAGCACCATAGTTTCCCTCACTTGCATATTTTCTTATGTCTTAGTACCACCCATGAGATGTAACCTACCCACAGAGTCGGCCTATGGTTAACTTGACCAAAGATTTCAGTAACAATATGTCTGATAGCAAATTAAAGGCTGTATACCATTATAAAGCCTCATCCGGTTCTTTCAAACCAGGAACTCCGAGGGACGACTCAGACCACTTGAGTATATAAAAATATAACCGTGCTGGTTTATTCAAAGAGTCACAGGCAAGAATTCACACTTCCAGTCCAGAGATCTTCCAACCCCCAGGCTGCCAAAGCAGCCCGGAAACCCAAAAGACCCCCAACCAAGCATTGCTATACAATATTAATCCTTTCTGGGCTGTCGAACCGTGACGTCACCCGATAAGCAAGCCTTGCAGCTGCTATAACGTTTAGCCAAAACATGAGGAAAAGTCAAGGTGCGTGACTGTTGTTTTCGTGGTGTGTATCTAAAACAATTGGACATAACCTTACACATTAAGACAAATATAAAGACTAGCACTACAGTTGACACTAACAGCTCTTTTCCTGTAACCTTGACGTGCCTGCAGTCTGCACTAAACATTCATAGACAACAAATCTCTGAATATCTATCTAACTAAAAAATAACCTAACAATTCCCCCTTTCGACACGACCAAAATCGTGTCGAACTAAATCAATGTCCCAGTTTCCCCAGATGAAGCTACCTAGCATTTCGAGAGGTGAGTGACCCCCTATGATGGAGGAGATCAGGGCAGAATCCAGGGGGGAACAAACAGGGAAACCGATAAACTGCAGCACAGAACAGGGGATCCAAGACAGAGCTGGGAGGTACACAGGTGAAATATAGATGGATAAGGAGACACAGGCAAAGGATAATAGATGAGGACAGAACTTGATCAATATTAGATGATGGCAGAATAGGAGAGATCTTCATGAGAGAACCAAACAGGGGACAACAACAGGCAAGTACAGAGCAGGTAACATCAAACAGCAGGTGAGGTGACAATAACAAGTAATCTACAGCTAATCTGAACAGGAAGTAGGTTGCAAGTAAAGTGGAGTTCATTGTTGTCTCAGTAACTGGAGGTTTCCTAGGTTCTGTGGCTGGAAAAAAACGCCAAATCATCCCACCACCGCCCCCCACCACCATGTTTGACAGCTGGTCTGAGGTGTTTGTAGTAGTATGCTGTTTGGTTTTTGACAAACATGGCACTGTGCATGATGATCAAACTTTAGTCTATCGGTAATAATAAATATACAAAGGAGAGTGTACATTCTTTTTACTGTGACTGTAT